AGGCAGATCCACCTGTCAGTTTGGTCTAAACCCGTGAAGGCAAACCTTTTACAGCTTTCAGGATTACAAATGCCCTGCTGTAGTGTGTGTACAATAGGTTTTCCACCACACACTTGGACCATGAACACACAAAGTGCAATATGGAATCTAAGAGCTACAGCCTCTGTGTCTTAAGGAGAGTCTGACAGCTAACCATGAGCCCATGGCAACAGACTTCAGTAGCCAATGTAAATAGTAAAGTTAGGGTGGAAAGGTAAGTTCTGGAATTGTACATCTATTCAACAGATATCCTGAGCATCTACTCTGTCGAGCACTGTAGTCTGCTTCTCTATGCTATGCAGAAATAGGTTGCTTACTAGCTGCAAATTTACAGCTGCAAATTTTACAGTCAACCTGAGACTATATAAATCCTCAATCACATGGAAAAATGTGTAACATGTTAGAAGAAAGTGCTGCGAAAATACAGTGGGAAAAATCATACCTGAGATGGGTCAGTACAAGATTTGTAGAGAAGCAGACTTTTGAGTTTGACTTTAAAGAATAGAATTGGGGGGCCAGCGAGATAGCTCAGGGGCATAAGCGCTTACCTGGTAAGGGCAAGGTTCTGAGTTTGAACCCTGGTTCTGCAAAAACACCTATTACATAAAGAATGGAATTTTGACAGGTAATGAAGGACAAGGAAAAAAATATCCTAATTTTTTTTCAAAGAAGGAATATGTATCTGTGGCCTCCAGGATGAAAAACCATTATAGTGCTTGGTGATAACAACACAATAAGGTTTTGTCTTCTCTGCTATGAAAGCATATATTTCCTTGATGTTTGGAAGAATATTCTTTCAGAATGTTTCAGGCTAATACCCTGGCCTGAGCCATGACCAGCCTCGCTGCCTTCTGTATTTTTCCTATCCTTGGGATAAATTGGGGACACCAGCCTTGAGGGTAGTCAGTCTGGCACCTTAAAATTCACAAGCACAGAGAAAAGAGTGAAGAACCAAGAGTAAAAATAGCTCTACACATCAGCAACACAGAAAAGATGCCCCAAAGTTCTCCTTTCACATTAACAAAAATTTACAAACTATGCCTTCTAGAGAGGCATCTACAAGGTAAAGGAGGCTACTTATGCACAGTGTAGCCTTGCCTCGAACAGAACTCCATACCCCTTACTAAAAGCACATCAGAGCCTTGAGGTCCTTTCAGGCAAAGATCTCAGTACTTATAAACACCAACAGAGGACCACAAGATAGCTCAGAGGACTAAGTGCCTGCTTAGGCAAGCACAGGGACAGCAGGAACTGCACGGACCACAGGGACCTCGGGGACTGGGGTTCGATGCCCAGCACTACATACTGTGCCAACAACACCCCAGGGTTCTCTGAGGGAGGCTGAAAACAGGATATGAATCTGAGCTGTGTAGTAAGACCCTGTACCAAACACACACACACACACACACACACACACACACACACACACACACACACAAAACAGCAACAGATACAAACAAGCAAACAAACAGCAATACCTACAGGAATCGTACTAAACTTCAAGGCATGGGAGCATGAAGGTAGATAATTGAGTAGGGCCAGTGAGAAGCTGGGCTCAGACCTGGGTGGGGGATAGGAAGAGCTCCTTAGCAATGCTCAATATAGCAAATCAAAGTAGCCAATAAGAAGGACCAGAGAACCTGTGCATTTGTTTATAATTTAAGCCTCATAAAACATAAACCTACCAAAAGCCTCTGTGTGTGTGTATGTGTGTGTGTGTGTGTGTGCGCGCGCGCGTGTGCGTGGCCTTGTTCGATC